TCTGATTTCGATAGACGTTCGTGCGGCACATGGAAACTTCGATGTGTGCATGCGACCCTTGAAGAAACTCGGCCGATTAAGAGCAGGCACTTCCTCATTTGCATCAGCCCTATGCCATGGAGCTTACCGTTGTTAGGCATAATAAGTGGTCACTATTCGCCCAGCTCCTGCATATGCAAGTGGGTTGAAACGGGCAGGCCTGATATCTTCATCAGATCTTATCTCCATCCACAACTCGCGCCATGTCAGCATGTGATCGAATGCACTAATCTCTGATCTGAGACCAATCCCGCGATTTGCGGAAATGATGGCAAGGGTTCATGTACCTCAGTATTGAGCCTTGGTCCTTCACCGTACTTGAGGAACAGCCCACAATCCAACATATCGACTACCATACATGACAGCGACCGTGGCTCACCGGAATCTCTCTGCAACGAGACGGCATGATAGCGTGCTGCTGAGGCAATACGGGCAGCGGTGGTCCGGGCCACGCTGCAGCTCCAATGCAAAACGCCTCGGAACCGCCCATCTGCGACCACGTTGAGCTGCGCAATGCTCAGGGTCTGCCGACATATGCGCCTTATTGGCCAGGTTGGTTAAAGATGCACTGCCGAGCTTTCAGCTTACGAGGGTGGCCTTTTGCTATTGGTGTATCTCGGCTTTTACAGTGTCTGCACCCCTCCTACTATGTATGCCAACACATCCTAGTGTCGCATCTGTTGGGCCCAGGGTTGCAGTAGTCGAATTCCGAGGAATACGGCCTACGTGTAGCAAGCATCTCCGGCGATTGCGCCATGACCTATATACCTTCGATCGATCGAATCATGCATCTATTTGCTCACTGTCAAGGCATGCTACGTTTCCTAGCCGCTCTTATTTCCGATTAACGGGAAACCTATGTGTAGTGGAAGGTACTCCCGCATCGAGATCTAGCTCACCGCTAAACGCGACTCGACTTTGCCTGATATGAATATGACACATCCGCTGCCGGGCCGTTCGCTTGTCACACGCATGTAGTGAAGAGCTAGAGCGCTTGGAGAAGGGCGTACTGCACTATGCATGACTAGGGCGGTATCTTTACCGTAGCCTCATGACATGCCTTAGTATGGACGCTTCAACTGCGCATCAGTTTAGTGTCGTATATTGTAGGGTGGATCAGCTGGATCCGCTGGATCCTTCATAATGGGCGTAGTTATTGCATGTATGTGCAGCCAGTCGGCTCATCGTATGTTGGGGAAACACACCATTTATAGCGCCTAGCTCGGTTCTAAGTAGGACGTGATTCTTTGTACTCAGCCTTGCATCCAAACTTCGTCGCTTGCAAAACGTTCAAATCGACCTGGCTCGGCTCTGACAGCTTCTGAGGATCCGGCAAAACGCACACTGTCAGTTTGGAGACATGTACGCCCGTAATTACACACGTGGGTCGTTGTGGGGTCGGATCAATATCTGCATCGGGATGCGTGTGTATCCATATGGCAATTTCACCCTATATTCGCAGGTGGCTGTCATGCCACCGATAGACGGGGTAGCATAAACGTCGGCTCAGCATTAACGGCGCTCTAGACCTGGCTGTGCTTGGAATGAGCACATAGGCATTTAGATACCATGTTGATCGCGCACTGAAGGAAGTTTGGATTGGTGAAAGCCTGCTTGCAACGTCAGCTGAGCTGAGTGTGCTCGACGTCATAAATGAACTCCTACGCGAAATTGTTTGGTGCGCCGTTCTTATAAGTTTATTGCAATACATGCGAGCTTCAAGGGTTTACTGCTAAATTGCGGCACAGGCTCGAGAAGACGTTCGGCCCAGCCTTACTAGCGTGTAGTCGGTGAAGTAGAGCATGCTCGCGCGCTTACAATGTGGCGCATACGCCGGGCAAGCTCGCCCAGTCTCGAGACTGTATCTTTCGGCAATGCAAACGCGCGTGGTCGCGAGCGCTGCCGTGTTAGGCATTGCTCTTCCACGCCTTTACCATAGCCACCCACGGGACGCCCTGGTCCATGAGGGACGAAAGAAGTATTCGTTTCGTCGAATAAGTATATCTCGCACACGAATTGGAACGATTTTCAGGACATGTGGCGTTCAATATATCGGCCCCAAACGCCGAGCTAACTCTTTTGATTCGTAGTGACTCCTATTTCCTTCCAGCCTGCACACGTTCCTACGTCTAGAGCATCCGACAACGTCTATACATGAGGAGCAGCAGCTTTGTTCGCGAAAGTAAATCGTTGGTACTTATGGATGCGGGAGATCTTACCGAACCTAGCGGATGAGCACCCGTAGGGATAGGCATGAGTCTGTGGGCCAGTACGGGTCGACGCCCTCGCTTGAAAAGCTGCCGACTGTATGGACATGGAGAAGAGCGCATATGGCGACCGTGACGACATGATGTTCCAATGAGGAGGTCTCGTTTGTTGTTGCTGATCGGTGAGCAGAACCTGGAGTGAAACACGAGGTGGGGACAGGGGATGCCGGATCGAGACTTTCGCAATTCTTGTGATGGTTTATGGGCTGCGCCCCTGCGAAGAGGCTATCGACGATCCTATGTAGGAGGAGGACTTAGGAAAGAGGTTAGATTTCCTTACAGACGTAGCGACCTCGCCCTTGTTCATATCCGCTGTTAGCTCGCACTTAGCAGCCAATCGATATCCTAGTCAGCCCTTCCATTAGCGTTAGTAGGGATCCGAGCACATGGCCTTTTCATGCACGTCACAAGTGCTATAGATGCTAGCCCCGGCGCGTACCCATAAATACAAGGAGAACTGCCCCAACCTGTGGGTGCATCACAAAAGGGAGGCGCAGACGCCTGCCTTTGCTGTCTCTTACCTGCAGTACCAGACTTATCACCTTCTTATCGACACCAAAGTTTATCCAGTATCCTAGGATGTTGGTCTCGAGTCATCTCTCGATCTCTCAGGTGAGAGAAGTTAGTAGCCAGAAAAACAGCTGACATTCCATCACGAGAGTTGAATCAACTGAAATAGTAGATCATCATGATACTCCTTGAGACGATTCACGCAGGCCATGATTACTCATAGTTATCCTTAATTGATACCGGGATGATATAACTCTTCTTATATTTCGCATTCGTCACCTCGGTGTATATAGCCCACTTCGGCTTCATGCCGGCTTTCCAGGATGTAGGACTACACATGATATCGTGACTGGGAAGCTATCCTCATATCTGGAGACTTGATGTGGGTATGCGAAGGTCTGGACCGCACTGGAACTTCAAAAGAGGAATGAGGGGGTGTGAGGAACAAAGGGGACTTCGGATGTACGGCGAATTTAGGTTAAGTTGATGTAGGATTCTACTGGCCTGAACCCTACCAATTTCGTTGTACGCGTACTAGCACACGCATTTCCCCCCAAGACCAGTATGCTAGTATCACAACGTGCGAGACCGAACCCCCGGAAGGCTTGCTTGGAGACTGGAGAAGGAAAGGGAATTCGTAACGAAAAATCTGTCTGCTGCCCGGGCAGTCGAGACCCAGCTCCAATCTCACCTTTCGGAATCGATTCTATTACCTGAATTTCTCTACGAAGTAACTTAGTGCGGTCGCTAGAACTTTGTGAGGTACTCGAGCGATTCTGTGTTCTCTGTCTTGAAGGATGTCGGATGACGTCATAACTCCTGCTCTCTTTGCCAAAGACCCTAATAGTAACTTCGCAAATGTGACAACTTGAGGATATACAGATACTGTAGATTCGGTAAAGCATGTTTACCCAGGTAAGTGTGTATTTATGTTTTCATATCTGTATCAGTCAATCGTAGCACTGAAATTGAAACGCGTTCTGCGGCAACACCAGATCAGGACATTCCGGAGATAGCAAGCGATCTTCACTGTAGACGTCACTACCGCCATAGCCAGTCATGATGCAATCAACGGGGATCAAGCCTTGGTCAACAGAACAACAGCAGCGAGGCCCCTAAGCAAGACCATTTTGTGAATCTTGAAAACAACTTCACAATGTCACCCTCAGGTCTCGCCATTCTCATTGGAGCCGGCCCTGCTACTGTAAGTTGTCCGGCGAACGTAACAGCATATACGTGACTCTAATGCCACAGACCTAGGGCACGGGAATTGCACGAATCCTGTCATCTCCTAAACATGGTAACCTCGCCGTAGCGCTCCTAGCCCGACGCCCAGAGAACCTGCAGACTGTCATTTCCAAAGTCCGCTCCACCAACGAGAACGCGGTGCTCGAAGCATTCCCGAGCGACACCTCAAAGGCATCTCTAGAGAAGGTATTCGCAGATATCAAAGCACACGAGAGCTTCAAGGGCCTAAAGCTGAAGCTAGCGATATACAGTATCAAGCATTCGAGCAAGAAGCCGTTCTTGGAAGAGACAAGGGAAGAATTTGAGGAAAGTTTAGAAACGTATGTTGGTGGAGCTTTCACGTTTGCGCAGGAAAGTCTGAAGAGATTCTTTGCCGATCATGGAGAGGTGGGCTTGATGGATGGAGGGGAGAAGAAAGGGGTAAGCATGGCCTCCGCTACGATGTGATCGAGCGTGAAACTAACGGTGTACAACAGACGCTCATCTTCACCGGCACTCTTGGTGCGCTCCGATGTAGTGCACAATTCGCTGCGTATGGTGCTGGTCGCGCATCCGTCCGTCAACTAGCGCAAACACTGGCTCGCGAGATGAGTGAGAAGGGCGTACATGTCGTACATACGATTGGAAATGGCGCAATTGTCGACGAGGACGGGGAGGATCAAAAGGTGGGCAAGAAGATGAGCGCTGATGCGGTTGGTGAGACTTACCTTTGGTTGCATTCGCAGAAGCCCTGCTTGTGGACCCACGAGCTGGACATGAGGCCCGCTTGTGAGAAGTTCTAGACATGTCATGCAGAAAAAATAACATTTGAAGAGATCTATAGCGCCAGGATACAAACGAGTGTACAAACAGTAGAAAGCCGCCACGGGTTCAAGAAGAACAAGATAGCGATCAACGCCATCACCAAGAAAACATCAAGCCAATCACTCCTCATAATCACCTAGCCGGTGGCTGCGTCCAACGACCCAACATTTGGCCAAGAGCCCAGTTCCATTCGTTGACGAACGCATTGGTGAGCTGAGTGATCTGCTCAGCAGAAGGCGTACGACCTGCCCACATGGCAGGCTGCGATGCCTGATAATGCGCATAATACGGAAGGAGTTGGCTGAGTTACATTAGCGAGGACTTCCGCAAGATAATGCTGGTCGTCAGACGTACTCAGTCTGTATCTTGTTCAGAACCAACCAACACAGATTCCACGAGCGGTTACTTGCAGGATCGGCGTAGACACGCCTCTTGGCTTCGTCCAGGGCATCGGAACTTTGTATTGATCAGCCAATGGACTAGAAGATCCCCTTACGCATTGTTGAAACTTATCGAGGGTAGCTTACCTGAATGGGTAGTTCTTCGTCAGTCCGCGGAGCTCGGTCAACAAGCTGTGCGATTCGACGTAGTATCTCCCTGATGAGTGCTGTCAGTCTTCTTTCACAAGTTCGCTGGAGCCGTAGACTCTTACAAGCCGATGTCATGGGTTCACTGCAATCTGGTGTACCAAGCTTCGCAAACGCCTGCTCAACGCGGATCAATTCGACTATAGTGTTGAACTGATGAGATCGTAGTGCTCGAATGTATTGTGCCTTTTCGGCCTATCGTGACACAGTGTCAGCATTACTGAGGTCGAAATCTATACGGCAAATAGAAACATACGGGAGTGATCTTCCTGGTAGAAGAAGACATGTTGGCGAACTCTGGTACTCTGTATCTGCGTACTGGTGGATTGCTGTATTCACTATGCTCGGTGTCGGTGGTGGATGTAGAGCGAATCAACATGTATCGGTGGTTGAGAAGCTGTACTTGACTGAACAGGTAGCGCTGAAGTTTATGTATGCGGAAGAGTGAAAGAAGCTGTTTGTTGCGATGAGTCCATCAGTTAGTAGAAGATATTCAAAAAGTTATATAGATATCCCCCATTGCTGATATGGCTGTAGCGTACGACTCTCGTAGTGATTAGTCCAGACACACCGAATATGTGCATGTCATGAGGCAGCTCAGGAGCCAGCAGCCAAGATTCCGTGCAATCAGAAACTCTGAGAAGGTCAGCTTTGGACGCCATATTGTCATGATGGACTCATGGGAGTTCAAGATGTCAGTGCCGAGCGTAGAAAGACAGCTGGATGTGATCAAATGTGGAAGCATCAAGTAAGATTCTGGATCCTACAAGGGCAAATTTGATCAGCCTCGTCCTTATGGGTGTCTCCATGCCTTTGCAATGGATCTTACAAAAAGAGTACCGCATTTCTGATAGGCTGGTCACCTTGCATCATATGGTCTGCGACAGATCAAACAACAATGATGTAGTCAGATTATGGGTCGTATATCAGGGCTATGCGACTTGCTAGGGTGTCCAGCGGCCCGATCGATCCTGAGTCAAGGAGCTGCCGTAGGGATATCATGATGGAACTAACCACATATCTGATGCCGAGAGAATGGGAAGATCGCTCATTGGCCGTGTGTTTGACCCGTCCCAGCCTTGTGGGCAAAAGTGGGTCCGTAACGACGTCCAAAACGAGATCATCGCCGTTAACAGTGCGGAGGAAACGGCCTATGGAGTCAGTGCTATGCTAAAGGTCAACACAGAGCGTCGTAGCTGAGCTGGATGTTGTAGTGAAGTGAAGTTGATCAGACAGGCGCAATTCCAATGGAGACCGCGAAACATGTTCGGAAAGTCGAATTCCCGTCGTATATCTAGATATGTCAACGGGACCAGGAACAGCTAAGCAGAGTCAGTCGTTGTGAGACTGAGGCTGACGTCTAAATGTCTGTGTGCTGATGATGCAAGGAATCGGGACAGTCGGATTCGTGCGTTGTGGCTGTTTTAGCTTGTGGCTGAGCACTGTTCCTTCTCCAACTTCACCGCTGTTACCTTGGTATCCTCATGTAATTCACAGTCGCTAACAAGAGCGCTGTCCGGATAACCTCGTTTCCGAGAGATGCCTGACCAATGCGCTGCTGAGCAACTGGGCGCTTTGCGTTCCATGTTTGGCAATGTCCTCGAGCGCAATGAATCTACATCATTCATCTCATCAGCCACAGGCATAAGCACGACGATGAACCTACCTCCCGGGTTGTTCGGCCTGTAGAAGGTCTAGTGGTCTCGGACATTCTTCAGCGATGGCTCTTTGTCGTTCGAGGTTGGGCAGTGGGGCTTGTCGACACTAATTCCCGTAGGGCCTCTTACTGGTTCTTGACACGCGCATGCGGATAGACCCTTGAGGCTGAAATCGGCTTACCAACAGCCCATGTCAAAAAGAGTCTCGAGTGCCTAAGCCAATTTCCACGTGCACGCATCTGGATACAGTTACGTTAAGAATCTGATGATCGCCCACTAGCAGATATGCTTGATATATCTCACCTCATTCACAGATCAATCTCGAAGCTACTTCCGGTGCTCTAAGCTTGAAGAGGAATTCTCCAACGGAGACGGGTCAAGACCTCAAGGGGTAAATGCAATCTCTCATCCAATGACTTACACATGACATGTTGCAGCTGAGTTGTGCTAGTCCTTACCTGGTCACTCCCCATAATGTCTTCCACGTCTTGCAACTGGCAAGTTTCTACTTGAGTTAGTCGCAAACCGCTCACATGAGTCGACAAAATAGCAGCTCGTTGGGCACCAAAGCTTTCGAAAGGGCCAAGGACGGCCACACGGATCTTTCGCAAAGATTCATGCTGATAGATTCTTTTACATGAGCAGGCGGGTAGTCTTTCGACTCCGCGATGCCTTGGAAGTCATCATCCACCTTTTACACCCAGACACCTAGACTGGAGCAGCCTATATGCTCAGCGCCATGATGGAGTTTACGATATCGTTGTCGTTCTCCTTGAGGGCCTTGACGGCCTTCTTCCGCGAAACGCTGGCCTGCTGCATGACGAGCTCGATGTCCTTGGCCTCAAGGCCAGAGTCGTCAATCTCCTCATCGTCATCCTCCTCCTCCTCCTCGTCCTTCTTGTCCTCGACAGCCTTGCCCTTGCCCTTGCTGGCCTCGTCGCCGTGGTCGTGGCCGGCGTGGTCGTGGGATGCGGCCTCGGCCTGAGCAAGCTGCTGGGCGGCGGAAGCCTGAGCCTGGGAGTTGAGGTCCTCGATCTTGGCCTCACCGAAGATGCTGGTGCGGGGTCAGCAAAAGTGGCATGGGCGATGGAGGGGCAGCTACTCACATCCAGGTGTTGCTTGAAGGGGACTTGTAGACGTCGGGCTGGTTGATGACGAAGAGGATCTAGGAGGGGTGTTAGTCTGGTTGCTGGGAAGATCCAATGGTGCTGCCCGCAGCCCTTGTTTGTTGACTCGAGGGCTGCGGCTTCATCGACCCATTGCGCGGGAAACACTCACGTTCTTCGGTCGGCGGAGGGTGACGCGTGTGATGCCATCGATGTGCTTCAGGCCGAGCTTGGCGATGGCCTTGCGAGCCTTCTTCTCGTTGCGGGAGTGGACAGCGACGGAGGAGCCCGCGGGCACGCTGACCTCGCCCTCCTCGCCCTCAGACTCGTCGCTGGACTCATCCTCCTCGATCTGGACGTTCTTCTTCTCGGGCTCGTCGGGGAGCTCTTCAATGCGGGGGTTGGCCATTTTGTCGGTTTGTGGGTGACTACAGGTGTTGGTGGTGCTGCAATATCGACGTTCGCGGAGTTGGGGTCGGAGCTTCCAAAAATGATTTGTGGGCGGTTTAGCGCGGGCAGCTCTCAGTACACAACTGGCAATGACGAACCATGGCAATCACTCATTCAGGGCGCTTTCAAGCTCAGGTCGCCCATGTCACGCAAGCAGGCATTTCAAAGGGGGAAGGGTATCAAATTGCAATTCTAGTTGCACTTTTCGTGTGTGTTCATGAATTTGTGGATTGAACTCTCTTGCTACATGTGGAATGCATGCGAGAGCCGAGTAAACCTGTCCCAAACCGAATTGCACCGTGCCAAACATTGGACTTATTCACCCGAAACCAGGTCTTGAATTTTTGAATGCCTTTGAGGTCGCCTTCGGAATGCTCATGAAATGCACGTCATGCCTCTCCCTCACCTGCATGCAGCGACCACCGCAACGCCTGTCTCCCGACAGCATCTAGACTACCTATGCCTTTGCGCTGGCGCGGATCTTGGCGAAGGTCTTCTGGACCTCGAAGCGAGCCTACATCATGTTAGCCTGCGTCTCTTCCGTCGCATCCAACGTGCCACATGCAGCCCGAATCGTCGATTCTGGGAGCACAGATACACGGGGCAACGTACCTGCTTCCTCATCTTCATGACCTTGAAGCGCTCAAAGTCGTTCAGTCCCCGCCTCTTCTGCATAGCCGCACGCTTCTTGGCCCATGCGCTCTCGTCGAACTTTTGTTGGACCTTGTGCTCCTCCCACTTCTTCGCGACGTGGCCGACACCGCTGGCGCGGGGAAGCTTGGGGATGACAATGGGTGTCAAAGACAGCTTGGCGAGCGCGACTTCCTGGCGGGGAATGGGGGCCTTCTCTGAGGGACCATCAATGAGGACCTATGTCTCTGTGAGTCGCTGAACAGCACCCGAATCGCGGATTCTCCATACACGCTTGTGGTCAATGATCTCGACAATGGCAGCGAGACGGCCCTCGAATGGACCCTCGTTGAAGAGGACCACACGGCCGACCTCGACCAGCCTCCAGGCGCTCGTTGTGATTTCGGCGTCACCCATTTCGTCGGTATGTGCTGCAATTAAATGTTAGACTGCGAGAGACGTCAAGTGTTGCAGCGTCGAGTGCGTACCGGTCGGAAATAGGATTCGGTGTTGATGTTCTTGTCGGGAGTAAGTAAATGGCTGATGATCGGGCGACGAATTTCGCGTGCCCTGTGGTGCCGGGGCCGTGCACAAGCGAAAGGCGCCTTGGCACTAGCGCCGTCCTTAAAGTTTTCTGCGAGCGCGACTTCCGTTGTCTTCTCACCAGCACCGCAAACTCTACGCTGTTCTCTCTGCTCTCGACGACCGTTGCGAGACTTTGTGCAGTCTCCAACACGGCTCTCGCGATCGCCTTGATCTACATCGTGCGCTGCGTACATGGTGATGCGATGCACGCTTGCACCTGCCGCTCAGATGCACTAATCTGAAGACCGACAGCTTCGATCCGACACCCATAGCTCCACTGGTAAGTCTCCAACCTCCACACCATACTTCCCCATCCTAGGATGACATAATTTGCGATTGAGCTCGGCGTCGGAGACCCTCGCCGGGGTTTCTTAACGGCGTCGAGTTTATGATATTCAATTTCTTACATATTCTGAGCTTGCTTTACCCATCCAGCTTCTCTCACCGCACCAAGCTCGCGACAAAGGCTGACCGCTACAGACTTCCAAGTACCTTGATCCTTAAACGCCAAACTCAGTGCATTTGACATGCGAGTGTTGCAGCACACAGCCATCTTCCACAGGTCAGTCCCACCTCTTCTGCCTCGCAACCCAACCCCCCTTCCAATGATTACAACATGCAATAGATAGTATATGATCTCTATGATTACTATTTTATCACCAAGATCACTGAGGAAGACCACAACTACGCATCTGCTTGATAACGCTCTGTTGGATACAACTTACTAACAAGCTTGCAGGTAAATTCTCTATCTAAATCCATGTACTATCGCAGCCAACTGCAGCATGCGCCACCGGCAGTTGAACCATGACCCGACACTGCTTCAATCAAGCAGGCGTTGCTGTATTAGTAGCCCGCGACATTTGTCCTCTGCGAGGAAAGCGTTGACCAAGTGATTTTTATCTGTAATGCTCTGCCCCTTTCATGTAAAGGTAAGCAGTATTTGATGGGTATCTGTTCTGTCTTCACGTATATAAACTGCCAATATTAATCATCAACTACATCACCTTCTGCATTTCTCTGCTCAGGCGTCATAGCCCTCCTCCGTGTGATCTTCCTTCCATAGTTCCGGTAAAGGTTCGTCAACAGCTCTCTAACGACACCATTGAACGCTGTCCTTGCATCAAACTTGCTTCCACCATATGGAAAGGGGACAATCTTGGGCCAGTCGGCATTGTCTTCAAAGTAGAACTCGAGGTCGAACGCGGCAGCATCCTTCAGCATGTCTTTGAGCGTCTCCCCTTTGTGGCCGTTGACATCTGCCCACGCCCATAGTGCCGGGTCATAGAAATCCAAGGTGCTTGGGGCCTCTTCGGCAAGAATCTGCGCGTTGAAGAGCAAGTGTCGGATGATGTTAATGTTACAACCGCAACGAATGACAGCGTACTGCAGTAATTCGGTGGTAAGACCTTTTGGCACACCCAGAAGTACAGCAAGCGCTGCCACGGCGTGCTCGTTCTCCTCTTTAATAGCCTCTTTGATTCCCGCCTTTGCCGCTTCACCTGCCATACTACCTTCCCAGTCGATCTCTCCGTTCAGACTGACCAGTACGTAAAGCAACGACGCTTTGTCCACAGTCCAGGGTCCATGTAGCAACTTCTCCGGTACGTGGAAACCCTGCGCAAAAGCCAGATGCGGGATCTTAGTAAACTTGTATGGCCACAGTCCGTCGAAGTAGGAAACACCTGGAATCGTGACTCCGGTAGCTGCCCAGGCCTTGCCGCGTAACTTGATCATTGCATCCTGGGCGCGCTGCACATATCTTAGGAAGAAGTCGTAGGTGAAGAAACGGCAAGTCAAGATGTCAGATTGAAGCAAAGCGTCGCTGGTTACAAGGCGGTCCCGGTAGTTGGTGCGGTGATCGACTGTGTGGAAGAAGGCTTGCATAGTGAAGTCCATCGCTACCTTGTGAGCAGAGAGCTTTTTGCCAAGATCCGGTGAGCAGCGTGGAAGCGCTGTGTTCATGCTGTAGAGGAAGATTATTTCCAGAAGCTCCTGGGGAAGGCCTTGAAGTGTCGGCATAGCGGGCGTGACGTCTTTCTTTTTGGCTGTTGACCTCGTTTTTCGTTGTCGTTTGAGCTGAGATGTAGATGCTGAAGAGTTTTGTGCAGATATTGACGGAGGCTTGCTTTTAGAAGCAGCAAGTGCTGGGTGCAAGTGTCTCCTTTTCTTGCCACGTACGATGATAGGTGTGAGTTCCATCGGCTTACAACTGGCCGTTGTGACCAGGCAGCACTCAAAAGTAAGCCACTTCCGATTGCATGCAGCATACGCAAGGTAGATGGATCGGGAAAGGCTCCGCGTCACCTTGGAGATCGCGCGCAGCGCCACATGTAATATGCACAGACCTCAGGTGGCTTTGCCGCGGCGTCCCTGGGGCTAGCGCTAACTTTCCGCTCGTCTTCTCGTCGCATAAACAAAAGACGGGATTACTACACCACGCGCTTTCGCGACAAATCGAAAAGTGAAAACTCAAAGAAGCATCAGGTCAAACGTCTCCGAGATGCAGGTTCACGCAGTGCCAGACTCTGAGCGCGCGTTCGATTCGACAGGGAGGAAGCTGCCTTGGGCGTATGAGTTTGCGGAGTAAGTCAGTCTTTCATTGCCATTGCTGAATGGAATCTTTCTTCTGGAAGGGTCTAGCACGGTGATAGAGAAAAGTCGATGGAAATCTACACAAGCTTGTCCCTTTCTCTATTCGGCCTCACCACTATGGACGACCACAACTGCGACACTCCCATCCTCTCGCGCACACAGCTAACATCCACCCCTGATAGTTCAGATCAAAACCAACGGCGTATTCCAGAAGAAAAGGGCCCTTTTGGCAAAGCACGAAAACGCGGTACCTCACGGGCAAAGACACCGTTGGGCGCCAACAATGCAGCCGACGAAGCGAGACTCCACAACCAGCGCGCAGAAGACGACATATTCGGCCGCTTCAAGGCAGAGGAAGACAAAAGGCGCTCAGTATCCGCGCGCCCGTCCACCGCACTACCTCCAACAGCCTCGGCGCCAAACCTCATAGATGCGAGCAACGGACTGGGCAACTCCTTCGCTGCAGGCGCATCTACCAACGCTACTTTTGCACAAGAACCCAAGGAGGTTATACTATACGGCTTTGGGTCTGAGCAGCAATGGGAAGCAATAGCCTATTACGAGAAGGTTTCCAATGGCATGATCTACGAAGAATATGACCGCGAGCCACCCAACCCCAGACTCGGTTACAGTTTAGCTGCGCAACGCTCATCGTACTACCCATCTCTGGAACCGAAATACATGGCAAGGATCAAGACATATATAGGAGGTAACCACTGGGTTAAGGTCACTTTTGATAGTGCGGAGGCTGCCGAGCGCGCCTGTCACTACAGTGGGAAGAACATCCACGGCTGCATAGTACATGCGGAGATGTACCGAGGAACAGGACCACAAGGTGGTGACAGACCGTTGCGTGTAGAGGGAGGCATGTCACAGATCGCATCACCCAACACAATATCTTCAGGGACATTGGGACTACGCGGCGCATCGCAGTCGTCCGCAACCGCTTCCTCAGCCACAGCAACAGCTCCCCAACCTTTAGCACCGCAGACCCTTGTACCACGATCAAACATGGAATCAGCCTTGCTACGCAGCAAGAGTGGCACTGGTGCTTTCCCAAGTCACATGGACGACATGCCCACTGAACCCGCTCAACCACGAGAACTGCACCAAGCTCTTGATCCAAATACCGTCCCCGCACACGCGACTACTACAGCGTTGAACCCCCGATCTCAACGCGCAACCCTCCGACTCAAAGGCGCAAACGTAAAACCTGTTGTGTTCCTTCCACAAGAAAAGGCATTCCTCCCCGCGAAACCCCGCTGGCAGCAAACGTTTGGCTCGTTACCGGTCATTGGCTGGGTAATTGGTTCGGGACAGGGCCTTATAGGAGATCATGTACCGAGAAAGGAAGACGGAAGTTTCGATATGAACAGTGCGAGTCTGTATTGGCGGGTTTGGTATATGGTGGACAACTGCCTTGGCAGTGACTTTTGTGGTGTCAGGGATGCCGAGTACGATGAGTAGTTTAGGTGGGGTCACTTGGTGTGTAAGATCAAGGGTGTTTGATGAGCATTGGGCGGCGTTTTCGAAATGGCATTATAGCGAGGTGACTCGAGTATCGCTTGGAGGACTGGTATCTCGCGGTTTTGGATGCACATGTAATGAAACACAACATTTCAAGCGAAAGGCGTGCCAACTGTAGCATATTGTTTGCAAGGTGTTCGCATGTAAGCGATATTCGAGCAATGCATAGGCATAACAAGGCGAATGGTCAAAATCTAGGGTGCATTTCCACTCTCTGGAACTATTCACAAATACGTAGGTAATACAACCCAGATCGGGTACATTTTGGCTACATGGAAAGAAGACACTTAGAGGACGGACAGATCGCCGAACTTCTCCTGCGGGGTTGTTAGTATTCGTACAAAGGCCATTTTGCTGGTTCCATAAACTTGCCTTGTAGCCGGGAACGGCCCAGCGACCCTTGGAGACGAGCTGCTCGGTGCGCTTGTCAATCTCAGGCTGAGCAGCGGCGACCTCGTCCTGTGTTGTTTGGTTAGCTTCTTATCCCCCACTTGCTCGTAACCGTATATACGTACAACGGTGAGGTCAGCGAATGGCCTGGCATCCTCGATGTTCTTCAGGGTCTTCTGGAGATCGCTCAACTCCTTGTCGACAACAGCCTTAGTCTGCTCTGCGCTCTGGACGGCCTGGGCCTCGAAAGCCTCAATGGCCTTGATCTGCCTTCCTACATCGTATGTCTGAGGCTTGAAAGCGTTGAACTGCTTCTCGATGTCGTCGATAACGGCCTGGTTCTTGAGGATGCCGCGGTAGTGGTTGAAGTCGACGGTCTGGGACTGCTCGGAGAGGACGGTGACTTTGCGACGCGCATCGTCGTTGCGCTTCTTGAAGGACTGGAGGGCAGCAGCGGTTTGACCCTTGAGGCCGAGCTGGGTGCCCAGCTTGGTCCAGTCGAGCTTGAGGGCTGCGCTACGCTACAAGAGGGGACATGTTAGTTTTCTTGATCTTCAATTCGGAGGTGCCATTGCGGGCGAGGGGCTACTGCCGGCGCAGCAATGGGGCATTCGAGAGCTTCGACGGGTCTTCTGGAAGGGGTCTGACGTACTCCGACGGCCATTGTGATGGATTTAGACGGGGATGCGGTGGGTTTAGTTCGGGAGGGTTGATGTCCAAGTTCTTCGCGAGAGCTCGGAACAGCGCCGCCAAGGAAATGGCGCACGGGCCATTCGACTTCCGCCCTCGATCGCGGCCAAGTTCCCCCAACATTGATTGATCTTACCCGTTCACTTTCTACAACTTGCTGTTATACTCTCAACCAACAGTCTAAACCCGAATACTTCTCGCAAACATGTGGATCATTGACTGGTGAGCACCCTCGTCCTCTACTTGTGCTGGCGTCTTACTAACCTTGCGCCAGGTGTAAGTTTACTACCCTCTCTTGTTGTATCCCGACCTGGATAGACCGACGTGGAAACATTCGTGGCATGATAGACTGAGGACAGCACCGTCGTCCCGCATAATACTGTTGTGTCTTTCCGACCAAGCCCTGCAACACCGTGCTAGAAATTACCGACATTAGGCTTATCACGGGCGCATCGACACTACACCACCGCATGTACCACGAATACCAGCCAGATGGATCAATCGCTTGCTTGTATCATACTCGAACATGGGCTAATGATGTGCAACAGTTTGGGATGTTCTGTCCTCGCTTGGACTCATGAACAAGGTAGGCACGAGCATGGTCTAGACTCCATCACCGAAGCTGACCCAACATCACAGCATGCCAAACTCCTTTTCCTTGGACTGTATGTATCCTCGCATACCAACGCTTTCGAACACACGTAGCTGACTAGGCTTCAGTGACAATGCAGGAAAGACCACGTATGGCAGCCCTACTGGACACGCGAGCTTCCACTAACACAACTAGGCTGCTACATATGCTCAAGAACGACAGAGTCGCTGTCCTGTACGTCGCACGTAGTCTTTGGCTCACAACTGTCAGCTGACATCTGTTCTAGCCAGCCGACTCTCCACCCCACCTCCGAGGAGCTCTCGATAGGAAACGTCAAGTTCACAACCTTCGACCTTGGAGGCCACGCACAAGCTCGACGACTCTGGCGCGATTACTGTAAGCCAATTATGCTCCTCTGTTTCTTTGCATACAACTGACACTCTTCTAGTCCCTGAAGTTTCCGGTATTGTCTTCCTCGTTGACGCCAAGGACCATGAGCGTCTCTCCGAATCCAAAGCAGAGCTCGACGCTCTTCTGGCTATGGAAGAGTTGAAGAACACCCCCTTCGTCATTCTCGGAAACAAGATTGACCACCCCGACGCCATCTCTGAGGACCAGCTCCGTTCCGCGCTCGGACTATACCAGACAACGGGTAAGGGCAAGGTACCACTCGAGGGTATCCGACCGGTTGAGGTCTTCATGTGCAGTGTGGTCATGAGGCAAGGTTACGGAGAGGGTATTAGGTGGTTGAGCCAGTACGTCTAGGCGCAAACTTCCAGTAACCAGAAGGACGTCAGTTTGGCGCAAAGCAGAACAGAAAGCAGAGGGAGAGCATGTGACACTTTAGCTCTTTCGATGGAACGAGCTAGATGCAAGTACAAAACATGATTGTCAAACGTATGTTAGATGTACTCTTATGGGCGTTGGCGTTAGCTCTTGGAATAATATTGCATTGCACGTATCAAGATTGATATTCGTATGAAACGAGTTCGTACCAACTAGGAGCGAACGCAGGAAATACAGCGGCATACACTGTGTAAGGCCTGATCGAGTGCACAGTTGTGGATTGGATCCCGATCTGTTAGTATCCTGTTCACCAGGGACAGCTATTCCTGCTGCTCTCCAACTCTTCCTCTGGTCCTTTGAGTGAAGAGAAGATAGTACAAGGTGAGTGAGGTGTGTCGAAGGAATGATTTCTTTACAGACGAGAAGGCTGACTGGAGTGATGTATGACGGATACATCCACTCTCTTATACTTGGTGATCGCAGGTGCGAGCGAACTGGTTGATTTACAACCTTCAGAGCAACATTCAGATTGGTATACGAGCTGGTTTTCAAAAGAAACGTGCATATCTGTACGATCGTCCGGTTGCGTACGGCTTCGAGGATAAGCAGATCTTGGGTAATAGGACCGATGAAGCGATGAGCGAACAGGCAAGACGCCAAAATCGCACTCCCTGAACGTGCAGAAATGAATCTGAAGCTGCGAGGAGGTAGTCTTGATAGAGCATGAGTCTCAGCCAAAGGGCGCAAGCGCGACAGCACCGTAGCGACCCAAGGAAATGACCTCACTTTCACTCTACAAATCTTTTGCGACCTCGGCTCGGTACTTGCAACAATCACCCACTGGTTCGTTGGGCAAAACTCTGAACCATCAAACTCAATCTAGACCCGCCACCAAGCGAGATGGAAGGAAACGAAAGACGGTACGCAGAATCTCGCACCGCCACAGCTAGTGAGCCTAGCCTTATGTTGAGCCTATTAATACTTCCAACAAGACTAAAGAGTGCTCCATTAGGTACGCTTGCAAATAGTGCGCAAGACGGCGCATGCTCCCAACGAATCTAGTTTATGCATGCGTGTCAATCGATAACGCGACATGAAACCTAATCTTTGTTTGTTCGACACGTTGTTTAGGCGATTAGTGGCTGTCGGAGTGAGCTGTCAGATGGGCTGTGTGCTAATGGTTCCAGGGAAGCAGGGACAGAGAGCGCATGCAGGGTGGATGTTGACGACGTTGGTCTTGATATTTCCTTTTGCTCAACGACAATGGGTTGTTTGTTTGACGGTGGTTAGGAGATTTTCACTTGTTGTTTTAGTTGAATAGTTATGGCTTTTCAGATGGAAGGGAAAATAATCGATGGATTGGACATGACGTGAAGTTGATTTCATAGTCAGCTACTGCTTGAATACCACTTATCTCTTTAATAATAATAACCTAGAGACGATGTCTTCTTCGCCGTAAATCGAGTATTTACTCTGTAGGGATAAGAACAGAAATATATACACGAAACTGCACCTGGTGGGTGCATATATGGGCAATCGAACAGTGTACTCCAGGATACAACCCTTGATGTAACAGCATAAGGTGAGATAGGTAAGACAGTGGTTAGGATGTTGAAGCAGCGAATGCATGTTTGCGGCGTTGCGCAGAGTGCATTCCGTTGGATTGTTTCGCTCGAATGACCGCAATGGCTTGCGAGGGACCGAGATGAAAGGCATCGAAGGATTGTAAACAACAATTCACGACATGGGATGCAGGCGCACAAGACTTTGACCTGCTGAGGGGATATGACACAAGATAGCAAGTTCGTATGTTATTATGATCGGGTTGCATTAATATCTTCGTCGCATGGTGGTGCTGTACTACCTATAGAACTAGCTAAAGTCATGGCCTTTTTCTCGAACACAATCATCCAAACACCATTCCTCCTATGCTTTAGGTATGTACATGGATGTCATATATGCATGCAGTCATCAAGGAACGTCGCAAGGAAATCGTATCATCCTCCATTAGAACCTTCATTACATGATCGTCAGAGCGACCTGAATCCCTGTTTGGTGCGAGTAAACTCAAGCTGAATTCCCTTACAAGAGGGAGAAAAGGGCGAAGAAACCGGCAGCGAGAGCACCAACACTGGCAGCGCCAGTGGCGGCAGCACCGGTGTACTCGGAGAAGGGGGGGCTGGTAGCGTTGCCGCTGACGTTGCTCGCGGGAGCAGATGCTTGGGGCTGGCCGTCCGAGATCTGAGTAACGAGAGGAGCAGAAGCCTGGGGCTGACCGTCAGAGATTTGAGTGACGACAGGAGCGGAAGCCTGAGGCTGGCCGTCAGAAATCTGGGTGACAACCGGGGCGGAAGCCTGGGGCTGGCCATCGGAAATCTGGGTGACCACAGGCTTAGAGGCCTGAGGCTGACCGTCAGAGATCTGGGTCACGACGGGACCGGGGGTTGAGGCTTGGGGTTGACCGTCAGAGATTTGGGTAACAGCGGCGGAAGTAGCCTGGGGCTGGCCGTCAGAGATCTGAGAGACTCCGCTAGTGTCTGCAGACATGGTAGCCTGGATATGGATGGGAATGCACTGGGCACCAGTGGACTGGCTGTACAGGTTGTAGAAGTCGCCAGACAAGCACTGGTAGAAGACAGTGGAGCCCATCAGGGACATGGATCCGTTGCTGCAGAGACCGAAGCCTGAAGTCTCGCGGGCACCCTCTTGGACAGGAGCATCGAACTGGAACCTGATGGGACGTTAGTATCTATTGAATGTATACAAGTGTTATGCAAGACATACTGGTAGTTGGCGGCGATGTAACCGGTGCGGCCGGCCTGGTCGGTCAACTTTCCGTCCTCAAGGGACAGCTTGAGTGTGCCATCAAGCTGACGCCTCTCGATGCTGCGCCTAGTGGCAGATTGGGTGGCATTGACGGTGGTGATGGCAAAGGTGCCGTCAGCGGAGGACGCACACCCACCATCGGAAGAGGCCTGAGGGTAGGCAGCAACAGCGGCCACGAGGCCAGCAGCAACGAAGGACTTCATTTTCGGAAGTGGTTTTGTCGGTATTAGTGTATTGGGCGTACTTGACAGCGAGAGTAAGTAACGACGCGGAGGAGACTGATGAACGAGGTATCAGTCACTTCAAATATACAAGTAAGCAAGACTGTTGATGCTGGTATTCACGACAACGAGAGTGTGTGATGTTCTGGGTATGTAGAAACGCGGGATGGTAAGACAGCTATATAGCAATACCCAGCCGAGTTGTTAGTCTATTCAATCTACCTCATCGAGCATACCATCGCGGATCGGACATGGACAGAAGCCTCAGCGCTCGAGCCAAGGCCATGGATCAACTCCACGCGTCAATGCAAAACTACAGCAGCCTAGCGTTGACGCTTCTGACGGCAGTAAAAGAAGGCTGGAGTAGGCTCGTTCATGCCGTAACGATAAACGCTGCGGAGCCATCTACTGTGTCATTGGATACCCATTCATCCGACCCCTCATTTAGTTCCCCACCATCTCTCTGGGAATGCGCGTGAACAAAGCCCGTCCCGCCTCTCGTCTAAACATATCTCATTCCCAGCCCTCGATTAACTTCGGGACGCAATTGCAGCCATTGATTTGGAAGCTGTGGATGAATAGTTACTGCCTGTCCAATTGATATGACCTGCTCGTAATCACGACCGGTGAGATTCTGGGTATTGCAAATCTCGAATGTGTTGAGCTTTTTCCGCGATATGCAACATCCAAGACAGGTGCTGAACCGAAGTCTCGTATCAGCAGGCTTAGGACGATCGCTCCGCGGTGCATCCTAGCGTCTGACCTAGGGCAATATGCGTGCGTTCCGTAGGCCTCAAGGCGGAGTGTGGCGGGGCGTCGTTATTCATCACTTCATTTTGTCTCATTGGCAGTCATGCGCGAGGATCTGCAGGGTGGTGTGTGGTGAGGATGTAGCTCGCTCAATCGGACTATTGAGAGGCAAAATGCAAGGATGGTGTTGGATGGGATTGGTGTCGAGGCGATAAATGCCTAAGTGATGTCAAAGATTGGTTCCCAATCCGGCATGACGCTTACGTGCACTAGCGCAGCACTTGTGGGGTACATGTGGCTTTCGCTTTCTCAAGTGTGTTCAGCCGCCCCATCCACCGTCTCCAGTGGAACCGTTGCTTGGGAACGCTTAAGACGGGCTGGGGGAGGCTGGTACGCTGGCCTTGCGGTTGCATACCGATAGTGTGCCGCTTGCTGTCTGGCTGGCTGGTACGCTGGCTGGCGCATTTGCCTTTGTTGGCGGGTTAACCCCAGAAGCCGCTTAGATCGCTGAACAAGACTGGTCGACTTGGTGCGAATACTGTGCGATGAAAACATGGCATTTCGAAACACCAAGACTACGCTTGGCTACGATGTGTAGATGCAGACGTTGCAATGGTCGAACGTACCTGAGATGGGACGCGCATGTCAGACGTACCATTGACGTCACACGGATTTACACTCCTCCGCCCTTTGTGTTGCTATATCCCGCAACGGTGGCGCTAAGCTTCTGCACGTACTGGACAACTAACAATCAGTAGTCAATCCTATTGCAGCTTCTCACTCCGTCAGTGACACGGTGAGGCTTTTCAGCGAGTGACGAAAGCGGACTTGATCATCTGACCCCGCACAGCTCCTGCCTTTCGCAGACACGCATATGTACATCCAACACCGCGACAAATGCATTACAGCGAACCGAGCCGACCGGGTCTGTGTTGGTGAGGTTATTCGGCCTCGGCGATCACGATCTCACGATGGATGGACCCTTCAGCTAGTCCATGGAACAGTGACGCGCCAGCCTATACTTAGTCTCCGCAAGGACTCCTTACTTCTCTTCGGTGTCCCTTGGACTGGAACTCCGATGCAGAAGCTGGTTGTCTGCGGACTGCGCCATGGTTGTGTTCTGCGTGCGATGCTCGTGTGTCTGTATATGGCAAGATAATCTTTCGGCTTGACACATCCGAACGGATCGTCATGCTGTGGAGAACCTTCGGTGTACTCGGCTACAGGAATCTTAAGCATCCGGAAAGCTTCTCGTAGACGTCGCATCTTGTAAGCGCAGACCACTTCGGCGCATTGTTCCGGCAACGCAGTCTTGGACACATGTCTGATCACAATGCCTACGGAGCCGATTAGAGTTAGTGCAGCATACTGTCGGGTCACAAGTTCCTTGCGAGATATGTACCTCTAGATTACGCGAAAGCACATGCTGGCAGCATCTTGTAGCTGTTTGTATTGCACTCCGCCCTCCAACTGTACGGCGTGGCATAGTGGCAACATGATATCAGCCTCAGACCGCCACAGTATCTCCTTCTCTTGCGTAATCCTTGCTCGACGCTCATTTGCCCTCTCCGGCGCGCTTCACGCCTCCTGCTACGTCGTTTGCGCCTTTTTCGATGCTTGTGGAAACATCAGAAATACCTCTCGCAACAGGCCGACCGGCACTGCCCGTGGCGCCTTCAAGCTAAGCAAAGGCGCCCAAAGTCAGTACATGCTTCGAATGCAGTTAGTGGCATTCAATTTACCGTTTCACCAACACCTCGACCAAGTGCGCCAACAACACCTCCCACAGTGTTCGTAACGCCGCCAACCGTGTTGCCTACAGTGGACGTGACAAACTTCACGCCCGAGGTCACACCGCTTTCTTGTTGGCCTATGGGCATAATGACGATTGGGGTTGAATCTTGGTTCGGATCTTTGTTTGTTTCGTATTGCTAGGTGCCGGTGATGGTAGATTTCGTTAGAGTCCGGCTAAGGTGATGCGAGCTTGGTGGTAGTGCCTCCAGCGTCTGTGCTGCAATGGTGCATTTATGGATCAACAGACGGAATGACGTCAGGCGGCTTTGGAACAATAACGCGCAATGCCTTCTGGAAATCTTGCATTGCGCAACCGCCAACTTACTCCTCGTGATTCAAAGCATGGCCACGATTCGGTCCGTGTCAGATCGCTGTTGCGCAGCTCTGTTATCGCCTTCTCCGCCTCTTTTGAGCAAGTACCAACCCTATATGTGGGAACCACAGGCGTTATCCGGGGAAGCATCACGAACGCCTCATTGGCATAGTTTCTTCGGCAACAGCTGCACGAGAGCCTGCCAATGTTGCGAAGACAATCGCTCTCGATCGGCTTGGCCATGGACTTCCCTGTTAACTTGACAGCGATCTTCCAAGGTTCTTCCTACGCATGTCGTACCAAGAATCTTCGAAAAAAAGCTCTGGGCATTGCGACGTTGTCGTGTGCAAACAGATGCAAAGATGCAGAATGTTCTTTACAGAGGCTGCTTTGGTACGGGCAGACTCGGAGGACGGAGATTTCAGAGCCAGGCGCGCAGGACGCCTGAGAAAACCGCAAGCCACGGAATGCGAGCGCAGCGCTTACCGGAACATCATTGGTAGAAAACTGCCATCGTCTGACAGCCAGTCAAGTTTATCGTAAAGAGACAGCAGGCAGCAATGTTACTTGCGGCCGAAACTTATCGCGACCGGCTTCGTTTTATCTCCGACTTCAACTTTGCACCGGGGCGCAAGGATAGCGAGAATGCTCACATACATGTAGATAAATTGTGTCGCTCTCGTACAATCTGTACAGAGTATACCTAGAAAACTCCTTCGGATCGACTCTTTATCTCGTAGCGCGTTGCGAGGCCCTACGAGCCTACACCATTCCTCAAAGCCCGTCCATCAAAGATCACATTTGGCTGCGTTTGACTCTGTACCCACGGCCCAAACCTCGAATCCGAATTTTGACGAGTTGCGCGAAACGTACAACAACATGACATCCCTCTTCCCACATCCACAATACGCCGAAGATCAGCCATATGCACGTAGCATCCTCTACCTACACGTCATGCGCGCTTCAGCCATGTCCTTTTCCTTCTTCTCGCTTTTCCAGTTTCCGATCTCCGTCATTGCAGCTCGTTCCCGCAAAATATCGGTCGATTACAAGACGATACTGTCTCGTACACTCAAAACAACTGGTCGCGGACTGGTTTTAGGCACAGCAGCTGGTGCACTCATGACTTGGGGACGTATGAGGGGTCGAGAGGAAATAGAATGGAAAGATCGTTCATGGAGAATACTGGAGAATGATGGAGAGGTGAGGACAGATTGGGTCACACTTGGCGCCGCTGGTGGAGGAGCTGTTGGGGCTATGTTCGCTGCACGAGGTGGTAGCTTGCCTCTAAGGCTGGGCCACGCCATGCTCGGTGGGGCTGGTGTTGGGATGGCCAGTGGAGTACCGTACATGATTGGGACATTCGCATCAGGAAGGAAATAGTGATTGGAAATGCAAAATTGGGGCCGGTCTTCGATGAATGGGAGACCTACGTTGAGCTCTCAGTAGCACCGAAAGACATTTCCTGGCATGTTGTCGCCCCAAACTGGCAACTGATGATTCGAAGCTGATGTGCAGATACTGAATGAATCAGGTACTAAAATATGAAGCTTTATATTGAAAGAACGCTTCATCATCACAAAGTTGATTCTGGCCAATCCAAAGATACATCAGTGTAGACACGATACAGTTCTAAGCCGCCACGTAAATTCGTCTCAGATGTGCAGCTTTGTAATCGTCTGTACTCTACTGTGAAAGCTGAATTTGTGCATCGCGACAAACATGTCATCCACCGGGCGATGATGGCTAACATTGCGCTAATCTGACGGTCTCTCCTTAGATAGAACTTGAACCTTCTACCACGCACTCTTCGTGCTTCACTCCACAATCCCACAACGTCCTCTATTATTCCAGGTTTTTCTCTTCCAAGTCCGCTTCGGCACACATGCATGTGTGTTGTGGCCTTACATGCCATGACCGCGCTCTCGATGGAGGAACCTAACCAGGTTCGACTCGCCATGAGTTGAAAACCTCGGTCCACCACGCAATCACACTCTCTACACTTTCGTTCACGATTCAACGTAACAAAAGGCTGCCCCGCCAGCCGATGGCCTCATACAGTCAGGCTGACCGCCAGCGGCGCAATATAAGAACGCACAGATCGTCGGCAGTTTCTCCTGATCTTGTTCGTCCGACCTCCGCTGTCGCAATGATAGCAAATGAAGGTGTTCAATATGGCGATCTCCAATGAGCACGCATGGGAACGTCAGTGTAACGGTCTGAAACGGTCTTGGGCCGAGTAGTTTCCGCCGTCGCATCGAGGGCACGTTACCCAAATGTGTCTTCTCGAAACATCCCCGGAACGTGATACCTGTTGAGCAGGCCTAAGCTCCTGGAATCTCCACGCATTCACGGCGTGACCCACCACGAATCCTTTTAGCTCCGAAGGCATATTGCCAAATTGCGCCGTTCTCATATCTCATCCTCTTGCTTGAGGGCATCTATACGCTATGTGCTGTCCGCTGCGTCGCATTTACTATGTGCGCCGCCCTTCATTGGGCCATGCACTTTAAGCGGCGGCCCCAGATTCGCTCACAACAGGGATCGGCTACTCGACACGCTGTGATCGGTCCAGGTTCCAGGAAGAATACGTTACACCAAGTCCTCCGTACTAGCGCTGGTGGGCCCCAGGTTGCGTGAGAACAATTGGCGCCTGCACAACACCCACTTCTCGCGTCTCTGACAGCCACGAGCCGAATCGCGGAAGAGCCCACTCTGATACCGTCCGGCTGCACAATTCCCGAGGCGTCGGAAACCAGCCAACTCGTATGTGGTTCACTGTTCATGTAAGAGAATTCGTCAAGGTAGACGGGAGGAGGGATGTCATGTTTGTCGCACCATGGAATACGACCGGCTTCCATAGCGACACCAAGCCTTTTGAGTGGCAGGTGTATAGTGTAGCTATCAATCAGATCCACGTGAGTGTGACCGACGGAAGACTAGACCGTGGGGCAAGTAGAAGGGCCTCTGCTTAACTCGTTTCTGTAAGTGTTAATATGCGAATTGCGGGGGACATTTAGAGACGACCGGCTGTGCCTGCCTCGGGCGCGCACAAGTGAACAAGGGTTGCGCTGCCCTTGACCGACCCTGTTTCCAGGTTTATATGAGATTGCCCACCCACAAGCAGCGCGAGATGTGGTTTTCGCGATTTCTTCAGGTTCCTGACAGTAGGTCGTCGAGATGCCTACCTATCCTCTCCAACTCACCTGTCTGGGGGTCATCTACGGCACACCCCTCCTGGCATCGATATTCGTCATCCTGAGGATATATACGCGGCGGAAACTGAACCTACGGTTGAGCTGGGGTATGATAGTCGATGTGTCTTAAGTGAACGATATTAACGCATTCGAACAGATGACTGGCTCATCATACTTCCGTTGCTGCTATCAATAGCCCTCATAGGGCCGTCACATCGACGTAAGTACTAGAATGAGCGTTGATGTTCAGTCTCACTGACTCTGAATAGATGTAAAGATGTGGCACGTGGGTGTACACATCTGGCAGGTACCAGTCGATGAGATAGAACCAAACTATGACGAGTATTATGCTGTAGGTACCGCTTCAGCATGCTAGATTGTTTTTACTGACTACTACAGGTTGTCATGGCATTCAATCTCTTGAATATCCCTATACTACCGCTAGTCAAAGCATCCATCATACTTCTCCTCCTTCGAGCTGGTTCCGTCATCGAATGGCTCAAGCGGGTACTCTACGCCATCTTGGTCTTCACCGTTGGCAGTGCCCTGATACCATGGTTCCTCTACATATTCATTTGTCCCCCTTTAACAGGCAATACCTGGAAACCAAGAACTTTCGGAGGGTTGCACTGCATGGGCAGACACAAAATGGGCGAGATGTTAATCTGGGTCACTTGCGCAAATCTGCTCACCGATGTTCTTATCCTTCCGATACCTTTCATCATCGTGCGAAGGATGATGAGCGCTCGACTAAGATCCCGCCTGGTTGTACTGGTAGTCTTTACCTGCAGTCTTGCGTACGCCTTATCTATATGCTGCTTGAACAGATCGACTAACTTTTCTACAGTGTTACTGCAATCGGTGCTGCAAAAATCTACCTTTCGTACCGCGACCGACTTTACACATTGTTCAACCCTGACTGGACATATCCAATCGACTACTGTATCAACCACATCGAGAACAACGTAGCCATCATCGTAGCCAACATACCAATTCTCCGCGGTCTCGTTACACGATGGATTTTCAACTTCCGAACCAAAGCGACGCCCATGGAACGCGAGTTTCGTGGTGATTGGCAACATTCGAACAGATCAAGCTCTTCAGACATCAGCCGTTACACAAGAAAGAATCGTGTGGTACAGAAGATTCTCCCCTGTATACAGGACGACTTCTCAAGTAGCCTGGCTACGCGGTCAAAGGGCGACGTCAGCATTCGAGGGGAATGTCGACAAGACTTCCCGCCTCGAGTCGTCACCACAGGCGAATTACGGCATCAGAAACGAAGTTACTTTCCAAGATCGCGAAGAAATAGCTTGGATCGGTATGAGACGGCCGATTCCTGCGAGAAGGGTGACCTGTTAGAAACGGTTCGGAGTGTGGGTAGTTTGGGGTCCGCGCCGACGCTCGTTGAAAGCAAAGATGTGGGTGCTGGGTGGAAGAGTATGGATAGTCCGACGCTGAGTCCGACAACCCCAACAATAAGGTTTTCGAACTCGACGCTCAGCCCAATTGCGCCGTTGACGCCCGCAAGGCTACGAGGTATCGAGGATGGTGAAGATGATGATGAGATATACCCATACCCAAGGTTATAGTGATCCTATAGCGGACGAACAATTTATATTGAAACATTGACAACTCGAATCTCCCGTTACGTCTGCGCTCGAATATTGTTCTATAGATCCATGAATGGTGTTCCTAAGTCGTGAGATACTGGATAGTGTCCCCGTCTTTCCTAGATCCGCAAAACTGATGGCCCGAAAAACGTCGCAAGCCCAGACCACTCATGTCGGCAGTCATTCATCTGGTACGTATCTGCCACTTTCGAATCCCGTACGCCCTATCCGCTATGCCGTTGTCTCAATTTCCCACCAGAGTGACCAAGCCTCCCACCCAACCACACCAGCGCGGCGCTCAGGCCCGTTTGTCCGCAGGGGTGCGCATTAATGGATCTGGGGTCCAACCGTCACAGTGCACTTACCATGTCAAGACGCAATCCGTGCCGTTCCTTACTGCAGGGGTGGTTTGCTGATCATGCTACCTGTGCGTCAGCGCGTGTCTCGTGTCGCGCCATGCCAGTGTAGTCTTCTGCCTACGATGAAATCGTTCGTGAGGTGATGCGCTACGAACGTTGTTCATGGTCTTTGTGTGTATGGCACTTTTGTTGTTACATTGGTAAAGATACCTTGCAGCCAAGCGCGTCCAGAACAACGAAAGACCGAGCACGAACTTTGTTGGCGATTGTCATTACCTCGGATTCGCGAGTCCGGAGGTTTAGGTCTCTTCTCACAAATCTCGTCTATCATCCAACGGAAACCTTACTTGAAGCAGCAAGGTCATCCACTTGGGCAGGATCGTAAGACTACCTAGTTGGGTACGTATCTGCATATAGGTCACCTCCATAGCAGAACCTATGCAGGACTCTCCTTGCGCAAAGCAAGGGAGCTTGGGAGGAAAGAAAGAAAGAAAGATTAAGACCTGAACGCCCGTCAACGGCTTTGCGTACAATCACACATCTCACACATGCGATAATGCATTCGACGGAAAGGATCTCACCGCGCCTAAGCGAGGGGTAAGTCGTTGACTTCTCCACTCAACACCCTCCTTCCACCACCCTCTTTTGAATCCTACTGCACCGCACAACGCGGATCACAAACCCTGATTGAGTGGCAAAGACCCCTCGCAATCAAATTTTCGATGCCTTTCTCTAGTGCTACATTTTCTTGCCTTCGCTCATCACTTGTCTGTTAGTATCGTTAACAGGTTGCCCATGTAATATATCGGATTTCCCCTAGCGCCCGCGGCTCAATATGGATAATCTCTCTTCTCGGTACGGTGCGCGCGCCCATGGCGGGGGATGTGCAAGATTCAAATACAGAAAAACTTGTTCGGTGGTGTCATTTGCCTAAATGAAAAGCGGGATTGGGCGAGTGAGTGGACTGGGCGAACGCGATCGGAAGTCGAGGATGGTGCCGTTGTGTAGGGCGTTTACAATATCCCTCCTCGGCTTTCTTTTTCGGATAGCGGAGGGAAGGGCGTTTTCCTGGAGGAGTATCGTGGCGATTTGTGTCATGAGCAGTTCATGTGAACAAAGGAGGATGCAGACGGTGGCGGCAAATGGTCCGACTATCGTAGGTCTGCTTTCTGTCAATTGGTTCGATTTGGGTGGTTTCTTGACTTTGCGAAAGGCCTTCATTTCAATTCCACCAACCGGTCTGGTTGATTCTTCGCACTAACAGTATACCTGATGAGATCTTCCTCCAACGTCACGCCATAACATGTGTTTTTCAAGCGAGTACAAAGAGGCTTATCATTCGACGTACGTTTTGCGCTGCCTCCATAGCTGCAAAAAAACGCCACTAGATGTCGCTATGCAATAACACAATCGTAATAGCATACAAGAGCCCTTCTCATGAACGAGAAGGGAGAATACGAAGAAAGGAGATTGAAGTCATAACAACATAATCGGTGACTCCGACACTGGAAAGATCGCGGAGATACGACTGCGTGCTGTTCTGGACGCGGTATGCTGTCTCTTCCGACACGAGTCTTTTTATTGGTAGGGTATCCATGCATGAAAGATGGGCTAGCCAGCTCCATCATCTGACATCTCCAGCCAGTCAGCCTACAAAGACGAACGACAGAGAGGAATCGAAACAACGTAACGATAGTGAAAACGAAAGAACGTGATGCAAAGCCTCGCGTCACCGACGCTATATCGATATTAAACCTAGTATGATGACGGCGAAGAAAGCCATAGTGGAAGAGCTAGGCGTGAGGCTCTGAGCGGAAGACGCCTCGCCTGCAAGCACTTTATCGTCATTACGGATACAGTTTGTCTTGGCTGTAATTTCCGAAGGACAGACCACGCGTTTGAAGTTTGCACTATGTGAAGTTAGCCGATGTACGTCATGTAGCTTTTGGATTGAGATTATGCTTACCTTGGAAATGATGCGTCTTTGAACCAATCAAAGCGCCATTCGCAACCGGCTCTTAGGTTTTCGGGTAGATTTTGGCAGTCGTCAATGGATTTGACACCCGCCATGTTTTCACCAAAGACAGATTGAGATACGCCATATTGCTGGGCGCATGCATTCGTTGACGTTGTGTTACCACCGGGGACCTAAGTTGATTAGCTTTGTAGTCATAATATCCGAATTGCAATGGCTTACTGCAAGTGAAAACCGATTCGCGTTGGTTACATCGTAGGCGGTATTCGAGGCTTGTACAATCATGCTCTTGCCGATCAAAGGCTCACTGGTGAAGTTGAGTTGATAGCATGCGCAACACCAGGCGTCCTCGATACCTCCATGTGTGAGATCTGGTGTGATGTAGACACCAGCATAGCCATATGACAGAGTGTCGTTGATGGCCCATGGCTGCTGGTTGGAGCACTGAAACGCACTACCGCCGTTGCAACCAGTACCGGCGGCGATATCCGTAGGCTTGTCGTCGGCCGTACACGATTCTACCGGTCTCGAGAACTGTGCCTTCCCATTCCAACCACAAGACGGTTTACAACAGTCCCAGAAGCGAGTTGTAACAGCCTCCCCAGTGTAGTTGAGATGTGCACATCGCGCAAGGACCGCGAAGAACTCGATAGTGAGGGCGATATTGCGGAGATGTTGCGGCATCATTGCGGAATGAGAGATGTGAAGTCGAAGTAGAAACCGAATGGCATGGTTTATTAGCTAGAATGATCCGCGCGCAGTGCCAGGAAATGATATTTGAAGGATACCAAAAAAGAGGGGTCCCTTCTTAGTCCGGCTGCAAGGAGAGATTAAACTGCTTTTGATACTCGAGGCCGAGAACCATCATGCTGTACACCTTGCAGGGGTCGGCGGAGCTTGGGTACTGAAACGGTACCCGGGGTAATGGCATCTGAGAGGTCAGACAGCCGCTGTCACTCTTCCCACTTCCTTTCAAGCTACCCGGTGCCTTAACTTGCATTGTCTTACCTTATACAACCGCCCCTGTCATTGCCTCGTGGTTCGTTTTCCCCACACTTCCCACGCAGCGTTGTATCGCTCCCCGCAATTCGGTAATCGCGGTGTCTGTTCACAATGCCGTCTACATGCATGCCGGAAAGGATGCGACAAACCGAGAATTGTGCAAAGCTGGGGTCGCCCAGTGCGTTGCTCCGCGTTCCCTTTTGTGTTGACTGTAAGGTTTGCCCAATGTCTCACGCTCCGCCCTGCCCCCATCCAGTGCTCATCTCGGCTATTCTCGCGACCGTTCAAAACGAACTTCTCCGCTTCTTCAGCTGCAACCGTTCACACCGCCGTGTGACGCAACCTTGAAGGCTGGCAAAAGTCCGCGCACGCTGAGCACGTGGATCTCGAAGGGGTCGAAGGCCGTAGCTGCAAATGGAAGTGCCGTACCCGATTGGTTGCATTTCCAATATTGCTACCAGAGGCCAGACTCGAGCAGACAATGCATGCTTCGCAGGGTTGGTTTGTGAACAGGTGCCAGAATTGTTCCGGCTGAATGAACGTCGTCAGCATCGTAGTACGACCATGCGTAATAGTGCGTTTGTCATATAGCAATCGCCATCGCCAACATCGCTAGAGGATGTTTGCAGTTTCGCAATTGGGAAAGGACCGATATGCGTGGATACAAGTATGGAGCGGCTGTTTGGTTGAGAAGGGAGGCATGAACGGCTACCATGTCTACTATCCGCCAAGTCTCCGATACACGAACTCTGCCCCACTATATGTTCGCAGACAAAACCCACTTCCATGAGACGTCAAACGCTCAGCAACCTGGATACGAGATGCTGCCTGGGCATGGCTTGCGTTCGCGAGCGCGATTGACGGAACAATGGAGTTGCATGCGCACATTGAAGCTGAAACTCATTATGCCGAATCATTGCTACTATTCATACATCGTCAACATGTGCACTTGCTTGTGATATCTTCCTGTGCATGCCAAAATGTAAATGCTCCTCAACGCCGTCAAGATATGCTCTTTATGCATGATAGCCTTGTCTCATCTCCAGTCCCTTTCTGCCACTTTTGTCGAGGCAATTGGAGACGTTCAATCACTTCTCAGCATGCTCTCGACCAGATCACCCAACGGACCCCAGAAGTCCTTGCTTCCACTGGCCAGACCATGTTCGTCAATAAATAGCACATAGTGCTTGAAGCTGGTGTTGAGATGTGGTTCCAGACCCAACTCAATGACGACAGGGTAATGGTGGCAGTAAATATGCGCATAGACACGGTATAGACGCTTGAACATGTTCCGGATGAGAGCAGGGAAAGTCTTGGGGAAGGGTACGCCGATGCGTGAGGGAAACATAGACTCGTTGTCGACGTTGGACTGTATCCATGCCATGAGGTGTTCGATATATTCGGGTGCGGGCATCTTGGTAGGCTTTTTGTAATTCTCGGAGTCTTGCCAGAGGTACTCGAATCTGCCGACGGTTAGTTTCGCGCATATCAAGAGCTTAGTATAGGCTTACTCGTCGGTTGCCTTCATTTCAGGACAGCTTTGCGGGGAGCAGAACTCAGTGATAGATCCATAGAGCAAGTTGATCTGGTTGTAGAAATCGACAACTGCAATCTCATGTCAGTCTGACTTTCAACACTTCGAGCGATTCCGTATACCATTGACGGCTAGCCACTCATCCTTGTCCTCGCCCTCAGGCAGCTTGACGGCCTTCCTCAAACTGCCGCTACCAAGTGTAGCCTCAGCATACTGCTTCAACTGCCAGCTGCTGGTGCCTCGGTTCTTTGACGGTTTGAACGGTGCGCGAGTTCGCGGGTTGCTAAAGAAGGAGACGAGTCAGCTGCCGATCGAGTTGTAGGTCCAAATGCCGTCACAGCCCCATTCGACCTCGACCGCGGTATCCTCAAGCCCCAGTCTTCTGTAGATTCTCCAGTGTCTGTAATGTCCCGCTCTTGACAGCCTGATACATGTGTACGTATCCTGTGGTTCATGCGGCCCGAGTTAGGGGCGAATGGGGAAGGCATCGACTTCGTTCCGCAGGGCAAACTGGCAGAGGAGAAGAAGGACGACGAACATGGTACTTATGAAGCCCGACATGTCGACTCCCGAACCGTGCTATAGTGCTAAATGTCTCGACGGTGCCGCGTGCGTGCTATCGGCTGTAGCGCATTCCGATGGTTAGCCGGTCAAATAGCGAGAGTATTACGAACATTTGTACATACCAAGGAGCACAGGCCTCGATACAATAACCTTTTAAGCGAGTGACAAGAAGAGGGTAGTAGAGAGAGGGAGTGCCAATGACGTTGGATTGCTGGGGTTGATTGTTTTGGGCAGCGGGGACGGGGGTCCGTCTAAACACCAAGCAAAGCTTATCGATAAGATTTGATTGGCTAGCCAGGCAAACGCCCTTTCGAAAGTCGTCTTCGACTACACCACTGAGTTACGAAATCTTTCTCAGAATGATACAACCATAATCAATCACATGAGGGTATCAAATGGTTAGGTTCATCATGTGAGTGATGTCGAGCTTCCTCTACAACTCCATAGTCTCCAACAACACGTTGAGGCACGCAATTTTGACTTCGACTTTACCATACCATATGCACCGAAGGATGATGGTAGTTTCATACGATACCTGTGCACCTGGGAGCGTTGAACGGTTCTACTGCAGATGAGATGTACTTGCTGGTAGACTCTCTGATTGAAATGGGAATGGAGGGTGTTTCTATGCGCAGATGCATTATTGCAGACGATTGCGAACTGGCGAACTCGATTACTGGGCATCGGTCAAGTTTGATAACTTTTCAAAGGGCTCAGAGGACCATTGCGAGAAGACGACGTAGGAAACACATTTAAGCCTGAATGAAGATGTCGTTGTATCGTGAAAAGGTCTACTCTAGGTCTAGGATATAGGGTTCGCCTGTTAACAACTTGTAACGCTGATGATTATCACTCCAAACCAGATCCCCAAACACCTTCTGGTGACACTCATTTGCTGAAATAGGGATCTTGCTCAAAGTAGTCACCTTTGTCGCGCCCACGTCCATTGCGACGACCATTCTGCGTCGTTGGCCTTGAGTCAGACCCGCCATCAGTCATGGTCTCGAACTCATCTGGCTCATAATCCTGCATGCCTGTCTTGATGCGCTGAAGCTGACCACTGACATAGTGATGGAGGCGATCTTCCATCGCGGACTTCTGCTCAAGCGCCTCTTGGTCCAGAACACCGACAGAGTTCTTGCGTTTTATCGGGCTTGTGACGTCGTCTTCCTCGCCATTGGTGGATGTCTCACCCCAGTCGCTTCGGAAGCCTATGCTACGGCTTGTCGAAGACCGGCGGAGAGCCTGACGCTTGGTTGGCTTGCCTGTCGTAGTGAAAACATCGTCAAAGTAATGGTCGGCAGCACCTCCTGGCGTGCGTGGCGTTTGTGGAAGACGACAAGTCATACTACACATTATTAGTCAATGTATCATACGAATGCTGATTGAACTTACCCAGTGTCATGAATCATCTTCGCAATCAGTCCGGTCCAGCCGCACTGATGTGTCGCTCCCAAGCCACGGCCGGTATCACCATCGAAGAACTCGTGGTACCACATGTAGTCTTTCCAGTTCGGGTCAAAGTCCAACATTTCGTTGCCGTCGTTGATGGCTCTTCTACCGTCATCACCACGAGCAAACAAATGCTGAAGACGATGCTGAATCTCCTCTGCGACGTGACCGAGATGCATGTAGTCACCCGACCCAGTAGGGCACTCTACCTTCAGATCGTTGCCATAGTAGAGATGGAATCTCTGACAAGATTCTATTAGTAGGAAGTTGACGGCTAGCCAAATAGGACCTCGCCAGTTGCTGTTGCCACCAAAAAGTCCGCTGTCCGAGTCACCGGGAAGGTAAGCAACTTCGTACTTTTGGCCGTTCACGTCCATGGAGTAGGGATGGTCCTTGTGGTATTTCGAAAGCGATCGGATACCGTGGTCAGCGAAGAACTCATCCTCGTCCAACATCCTCTTCATTATGCGCTTCAGTCGGTCTTCGTTAACAAGTGACAAGAGCATACGGTTTCCTTGGCCACGTTTTGAGAGCGTATGGATGTTGCGCTTCGATTGTTCCGGGCGGTTGGCTATGAACCATTCGACTCGTTTCTTGAAACTTGGCAGGCGGTTGATAACCTCCGGCTCCAGTGTCATGGTTGAGTAGAGAGGGATGAGACCGACCAGAGAACGGACGGGCATCTGGTGAGACCATGGGCCACCCCAAGAGATGGCATCGTAGTAGAAACCGTCCTCCTCATTCCACAGTGGTTTCGACTCGCCCTCGCTGCGGAACTGCATGGCATCGCTGATCATCAAAAAGTGCTCGAAAAACTTGGAGGCCATATCTTCGTAGATGCGTCGTCGCTTGGCAAGCTCGAGGCAAATGTTCAACATGTTCAAACAATAGAAGCCCATCCAGCCAGTACTGTCAGCCTGTTCCAGGACACCACCAGTCGGTAAAGGATCCGAACGATTGAAGAGACCAATGTTGTCGAGACCCAGGAAGCCACCTTCAAAAATGTTCTTTCCGTCAGCATCTTTCCGGTTGACCCACCAGGTGAAGTTTAGCAATAGCTTCTGGAACACGCGCTCGAGGCAGTCAAAGTCCTCGCGTCCGTACATCTTGCGCTCGATCTTGAACACCCTGAAAA